CCCCGGGAGCAGCGGCCGCGCGCGGGGCGGGCAGGACCAACGGCCGTGCGCGGAGTGGTGCAAAGTTTCTGGCTTCTACAAAATGGCTCCCCAGGCTTGTCTGGATGCCTTCTGTGCACTTATTATTTGTGACAGGAGGTGCTATCTAGCTATTAGCTACCTAATTTGACTGCTAATGAAAACCAAAGGTTTGGGGGGCCAAACTCTTCTCGATGGTGGCCACTGACAGGACAAGGTGTAATGGGTATAAATTAAAACGCAGGAAGTTCCATCTGCATGTGAGGAGTAAATTAGCTGTGAGGGTGACAGAGCCCTGGAACAGGCTGCCCAGAGAGGTTGTGGAGGCTCCTTCTCTGGAGATCTTCCAAACCCGCCCCCCTGTGCCCGTGCTCTGGGTGTCCCTGCTGGAGGAGAGGGGTTGGTCTAAATGATCCCTAGAGGTCCCTTCCAACCTCAAGCATTCTGTGATTTGGAAGCTTGTGTAATTGCTAGCATTGCCGGATTTGATCTTCAGTTTTTGTACCGATTTAAAAGGAGTGATGAATGGGAATCATGGAATCATAGAATGCTTAAGGTTGAAGGGGACCTCTAGAGGTCATCTAGTCCAACCCCCCTGCACACGCAGGGTCACCTAGAGCACGTAAATTCTTAGGGCTAATCTAAGAATCTGAGTTCTTAGGGCTCTTTATTTAAATTGGGTAGAGAAATAGCGTATATTTCCTGGATACTCTCAGTATTTTGGAGTAAAAGTGACTCCACTTGGGGAACAGTGTCATTTTCCAAGGCAAACCGGGCAACCTCTGTGTAGACAAACTTAGGGAAATACGTTTGAAGCAGATGTCAACTATTCTCTAGTCAGTGTCTATGTGTGCCTGATGTTGTGAATACTAGCCACCCTTTCCAATCCCCATCATTTCCACACCCTCAATATCAGCAGCATGTACTGTGTGATTCGCACCCATGCTGTGTAAGTCACGTTGTTTATGGAAATCTTGCAAACTTGTGTATTCCAAGTTGTGTGTGTGGAGTCGGGGTCGCAGGTTTGTCCTTGGGTGATGCTGCCTGGCGGGGCTCCCTCCATCACTCTCAGGAAGTCCCAAGGTAGTGACTGCAGCACGAGGCTGTGCTTACTGCTCTGCCTGCTTCTCTCTCAACACAGGCGCTTTGATTACCGTCCAAAAACGGATCCCTACTGCCAAGCTCGTTACACTTTCTGCCCCACTGGCTCTGCCATCCCCCTCATGAAAGAAGAGGATGTCATTGAAGTGTATAGACTGCAGGCCCCGGTGTGGGAATTCAAATATGGTGACCTCCTGGGACATCTGGTAAGGCCATGGTTTTGTTTAACAGAGGCACAAGAGCAAATTCATGTGGCATCAACAGCAGCTGTTAACAGTAGGAACTGTGATATGTCCCTGTGGAAGAGTGTTGGTTGGCACAGCCTATGCTAACTGTAGGAGAGGTGCCTGAAAAACAGTAATTTTCAAACAGAATTTAGCCAAAGAAAAGAGCATGAGAGTTGCTCGTGGGTTTGAATATGTTCCCCCACACAGCTGGATATTGGGACTGTTCTGTATACACACAACACTGTTGTATTTAGGGGGGTTTATTCCCCACTAACACTGCTCCTAGAAGATACACAAGTTTGGCCCCTTTTATCTGATGAAATGTTAAGTTTTTTAAGGCATATTTGTGTTAGATTTGCATGCACACAGATATCTATCCAGAGTGGAAAACTGATCAGAATGATGCATCAAGCAAAGTTGTCTGCCTTTCTTGCTCTTTCTTGGTTATTATAATTAATGTTGCATAAAGTATCCATTTCTGCAGACATGCCGATATGAAAGAATCTTTAATAATTGTATAGATCTAGTAGCAGTATAAATAAGCTTAAAAAAATGGAAATAATTTCAAATATTGTTATCTTAATTGTTAAACCAAGGTAGAATTGATACATTTGCCATGCAGCTTTTATAAAAAGTATTTCTCTTGTTCCTTTTGTGGCTTTTATTACTATGTTCCAGTTTTGGTGACTCAGTTCCTTTTATTACTTTGTTTCCCCTGCGAGATGAAGGTTCACAACTGTGAGGTTTTACAGGGAGCTCCCACTGGGTATGTGCCTCCAAATAACAAAATATGCAGTAGATGAGCAGACAAGCACTGAGGCAGTTCACCTGCATATGCATGATACTGTCTGTCTTTTTTTTTTTTTTCTTATTTTTAAATCTTTTTTTCTCTTTTTTTTTTTCTCCTCCCCAGAAAATTATGCATGATGCTGTGGGCTTCAGGAGCTCTCTGACTGGCAAAAACTACACAATGGAGTGGTACGAGCTCTTCCAGCTTGGGAATTGCACTTTTCCCCATCTCCGGCCTGGCATGGATGCACCTTTCTGGTGTAACCAGGGAGCTGCCTGCTTTTATGAAGGAATAGATGATGCTCACTGGAAGGAAAATGGGACTTTGGTTCTTGTGACCACAATATCAGGTAGATTTCAGACAAATCTGGTGGCACTAGTATGAAATATCGAAGCAGTCTGTCTGGATGTAAAGCAGCATCTGGTCACTTGCTTTCTGTTGGTGGCTTGTAATGCAGTGACTGATGCTGCTAATTTGAAATAGAAAAATTCCCTCTGCACTTGCTCTAATATAGAAAGAGATGAGGCCACTGCCTTTTGAACAGCCTGTGCCAAAGAGATGTTGTTAAATGAGTGTCATTTGATGTTGCTTCATAAGCCTACTTGAGTCACTTGAGTATAAAAATAGCAAATGGCTTGTACAGAGGGTTTATGGCCTCTTTTCACATGTTCCGCCAAAACAAAGCATTCTGCTGTGAAGTGGCAGATGACAGCTGAGACAGATAGAAAAACTGGTAAAAATGTGTGTGTTACAGAGCGAGCAAATAAGGCACATTTAGAAGTAGGCTCAATACATGTCAAATATATTTACTTGCATTTCCATTTTCCTCACTTTGTGTTACAGAAAAAGTGTAGATGTCTCCAGTGATAGGTTCGTCTGTCATGTGTCTTAGAACAAAACCAGGGCTTACATCTACAAATACATGGGTGACCATCAGAATATCTTCCTGGTATATGCTGAAAACTAAAAGTTTAACAAAAAACCTCTCCTTAATAAATCCAGTTGATTAGTAATACAGTGGATAATTTTTGGGCAAAGCTCTTTGAGGACTGTTGCATCTTGTGTCAGCAAAACCGTTTACTCTTTTCACTTGGTGCAAGGAAGTGGTCTGCTGCTCAGTGGGGCATCAGGTGGCAGCTGCATACTCTTCCTCATAAAAAAGAGAGTAGTTAGAGCCTAACTTAAGCCCTGAGGAGTAAGGCTTAATATAGCTTCCAAAAGGGTTATGGAATGACCCGTTCATAATATATGCACTTATTTTTTGTGTGTTTTGTTTGAATTTTACTAGAGCGTACGATTACAGCCAGTTAGATGAGCTTCACCACCAGACTATCGGTGACTAAGACCTTGAAGGCTGTACTTTTTCAAGGCATTGCTGATGAATTTGCTCCTTTCAGTTTTCAGCAAACAGCCTCTTGCACTTGTGTTCTAAAACCTGGCAGGGCAGATTTCACTTCCAGGTATCTGCCATTGTGTTGCAAGCTTTTATCAGGTCTTCAGAGCTGCTTCTTTTGCTTTTGGAAGGTGACCAGTCACTCCAGGAGATGCATGGCCCTCTGCACTGTTCCTGCATGAACTGGGTTTGAACATTCATTTAAGTTTGTGGGTTTTTTCCTAGTTTGTCAATTTACTTTTTTTTTTGCAGTCCTCAATTACTTAGAATAATCCTAAGATTCTCTTTAAAAAAAAAAAATCCTGAAAACACAAAGAACAGTATTGTCATGGAGACACAACACAATGTTTTTTTTGTTTAATGTATTGGTTGTTAAGAGCAGAGGTTTATACCAAGCCCATCTCAGTCTTGTTAGGAGAAACAAATCCTGCAAAACCCTGCAGAATATTCACCAGGAAGCTAATTTGCTAGGAATTGGAGAAGTCAAGGGGAAGCTGCAAGCCCATCTGCAATGTACAGTTCCTGATACAGGTTTTTATGACTTGCTGGTTTATTAAACAAAGGCATGGGCAATTAAAAAAAAACCTCACTAATCCAACAATTGTCAGAACCAGAGTGATCTTTGAGTTTACTGTGAACCCCAAAGGCTCTTCAGTGAAGACCAGGTTTCAGCAGGGTAGCCGAGAAGGTGGATGGTGAGCTTGAATTGCTCCAGGGGGGTTGTGGGCGTACGTGCCTTGCCTTGGGGTGAACTTGAGTGGTCTTTACTCAGTAATGAAGAAAGAGTAGGCCAAGATGTAAGACTTTCAGTCTGTGTGGTGCGCAGTGCTCTTCAGTGGCCTCTGCAGATGCAATATTGGGGTAAATTCAGCCTTAATAGGACAGCGGAAGCGCAAGACTCCTTATTGCATGCAAGGAGGTTGCAGCGGGCTCGTTGAACCGTCTCCCAGTGCAGTTACTGTGCGATGGCAGCGAAGGAGAGGCTGTGGCTTCGAAGAGGCCATCGCGAGCTGTCATCCGATTGTGTC